TTTTTTTTTATGTGGCACACAAAGTTTAACAATCAAAGATGCTCGCCGCAGTACTTTTTGGACATAAATCCCCAAACTGTGACGAAAACAAGTGTCGCAATTGTGGTTAGTCCAAACTTTTTTAATGTCGTGCGCGGCACTGAGACACTCGTTTTTGTCTATGTATCTATATACTTCAAAGACCTTCGCTAACATGGCGATAAAAGTTGCCGAGCAGCTCCAAATTTTTGCTAACGAAAGCTCTTGGTTTTTTTTGGAATTACACAATAAAAGTGACGTAAGAAAGTGTCTCATTAAACGTCACCACTTTTGTAACTCGCGTGATGCCCTGTTATAAAACGCCAGACCAGTTATAAAACCAGGAAATAGTCGAAGTCGTCTCTTGCGTTCACGTGACTCCCCGCGTCACGAGGGTCCCTCACCCAAGTTACAAAACCCACCAGAGTTAATTCATTAGAGAAACATTAAGCCAGCTTGAAAGTAAACGCCCAGGACTTGCTATTGTGTGTGAAGTATTTGTGTGAAACAGACGCACACAGACGGCCACAAGTAAAATAATTTATTAGAAGCCAGTACCATTCATAGCAGGAAAGAATCTCTAAGGAACAAGTAAGAGAAAGGTTATTTAACAAGTCCATTATAAGTAGATTCTGCAAAACCAATAGCCTAAACGAAAGAAAGGCGTAGATGCAATTCACTGTAGAAATTCGGGCATTTCAGAGCTCTTGGAGAAATGTCTCTGTCCGTCTTGGGGTCTTACTCTCTCAGAGTCCTGCAGAACAGAACCTGCACAATGAAAGACTCAGGCACACGAGCGTCTCAGTGATTCACAAAGCACAAGGTCTCCCTGCACACCTGCACTGTTCCTAACGTCATCGTAGTAACACCACACCTCATTCGACTACAACATTTCTGTAAAGCTTGAACCACCTTTTATAATAATAATAATAATTTACAAACTAAAAGCATCAGAAATGTTCAGGATTTTTGTAGTCTCCTTGGAGTGTCTTGGTGCACAGAGCTGCGCCCCTCTAATGTTGTTTTGGGGACCAGTTTCTTCCGTCACTGCCTCCTTTCTCTGTGGCGAGAGCACCGGCACCTTGAGCACAGAGTACAGATGGGTCTCTGGCCCGATCGGCTCAACCAGCTGCAAGAGGACACAGGTGGGCACTACAGGGAAGGGCATTTAAAACTGCGACCTGGACGCAGAGTGGGGGGAGTGTGGAACAAGCTGCCCAGCTTCTTTCAGGAAACAGCTGGGGGAGATCCTGGGATCAATTAACTAGTAATTACCATATGGGCCACATGGGTTGAATGGCCTCTCGTTCGTGCTTTCTTCTTATTGATCTCCTCTGTGGCGTTTTTTTTCCCCTGATGCAGTCACCAGACACCAAAAAGGCCAGTACAGAACAGGGTAAAAGACTCCAGGTAAGACTGAATTGAGTTCAGTGCCATGTGTGGCTGAGTAGAGTGTCTCTGAGTAAAATTCAAAGCTATCGTTAGGATATTTATTCTATTAAATGTCTGCAAGACTATTTACCAAGTATTTTTTTACAGTGTTTTGTAAGAGGGAGCGGGATGAAAAACTGATGTCCCCTAGTGTCCATCTAGTCCTACCATGCACTACAGCAGTATTGTGCTCTAAGTCAATCTCAGGGTGAACAGCTCCACGCATGCTTGGTGACAAGGACAGGACACATATACTGAAATCTCCCACCCCCAGTCCCAGTCTGTGCTCCCGAACCTCACCACCATCATTGCATACAGGCAGGGAAATAAGAGGGTGCTGCCCAGCCTCCATATCAGCTGGATTCATATGGAAAACTTTAAGAAAGGGAATCTGGGGTTCCTTTTTCTGTCCCATGCTGCTGGACCCCGAACACTTATCCTCTCTCCGCCCCTCACCTAACCAAGCCACGCCCCCATGCAGTAAAACCACACCCACGGGCCACGCCCCCACCCGATCACTACCCCGCCCCCTCCCATTGCTTTGCCCATCAGCGTCAGTCTGCCCAACAGACCAGCTGGTAGATGACCCGGTGCTCCCCTGGAGTCTGTGCTCTCCCAGGGGTAAAACAGGCTCCTGCAGTGGAGTGGAGTTTGAACCCCACCCAGGTGGTCCTGGGTGGGGAGTCCTGGTGTTTCCCAGATTCCTCTATGCTCCCTCGGCTGGTGTCAAGGAAGAGAGAGGGGGAGGAGTGGGGGCCTCCAGCCTGCAGGGGTGCAGGGGTGGGGATCAGCAATGGGAACCCCCGAGGCCCGCTGAGATCCCACTCTGTCCCGAAGGAGGGTGCAGGAGGGGAGGGCGTCATATTCTTGGAAGATGCATGGCCAGCGCGATACAGAGACAGACAATATGAGGCATCGGCAGCTGGATGAAAAGATCTCCCAGCGTCACCCCTTTAACTCTCCCCTTCAGCTCTGCAGCAGCCAGCCCTCCTCTGCCGTGTGCCCTCTGCCCGTTGGCGCAGGCGGATTCTGTCCCTCGGAAGCGAGGAGCGCGGATATTCCCGTGGGAAGACCCGGAGCGATCGGCGCCGCCGGCCCCAGGTTTAGCAGCAGTGCGCGCCTCCGGTGGGTGCAGCCAGCGGGAGACCCCAGGGTGGATTAGACTGGCGGGGACAGGCAGGCGTCCAGTAAAGTCAAGCGGGCATGCCGCTCTGCGAAACAGAGCGGGTCGTGCCAGCCACGCCTCGATCCAGAGAGAAACAAACCCGCTCCCCAGAATTCAGCCCGGCTCGGACACGAAGCGCTCGCTCCCCGAGGCCTCTGCGGGGGAGCGGAAACGTCCCTGTGCAGCACTGCCTTCACGCTTTGCCGCCCTGCCTTGACATCATCTGTGGCTGCAGCCTCAGAGGGGCAGCATAGCCATATTCCCATGATGCTCCTGGGGCCCCGGGCGGCTTGAATGAGCAAACGGGGCACAAAAAACTGCCGAGGGCGAGCAGGGTCCCCCGAAGAGCTGCCCGTCCGCGGGTGGGCACAAAATCATTCCACTCCTGGGCGGCTCAGCACTGGCGCCATCCAGCTGGCACGCCGAGGGAGCTCTACAGCCCAGACTCTGCCAGCTCAAGCCTGGGTCCTGACACTGGCTGTGACCAGGACTGTCCAATCCAGCGCGCCATCAGGACACCGCTGGGCTGAGGCGACCGTGACTCTCCAGCCTTTCCTGCCCCAGGAGGGCATCTCCTGTGACTTCCCAGCTGCCCGCAGGCGTGCAGTGACATCACTGACAGCCCCAGCGCTCCTGCCAGGCTGTGCGGAGCCTATCAGAGTGGCTCTGTGTCTTCTACTAATCTGATGGAGATTCCGAATTGAAGGGGCATACCATATGAGAAACCAGCTGGAGGGTTTTCTCCAGCAGCTGGTCAGGTGCCAGTGAGCCTGCAGGGTTGTTGGCGAGAGCTGCGCAAGCCTTCCGTCCAACGCCTCAGTCCTGCCGCGTGCGCTGGGGGAGCCCCAGTGTGAGAAGGAGGGGATGGACCCGCTGGCTCAAGTGGGTGAGGACACGTGAATGTGGACACAGGGTAGAGTGGTGACCCATGATGAGCTGCCGATTCAAGATTGCCATGAGGTACTGTATTGCAATGAGTGAAAAGAAATTCTGATCTTAAAGGAAAGTATGAGGATGTCTTGTTTTGGGTTAGACTGTCATTAAGGGCACCGGTGAAGTTGGCCTGGCTTCTGATGACAACTGTGTATTTTAAGTGTATTGGCCAAACGGCATTTCACAACTGCAAAAGAGCCAAAAGACAGATACTGTACACTGTGCTCTGGGGCCAGACTGACACCTTATACCAGGGGACTGTAACTCTGGACTAGAGAGCCACAGGGTGTCCTGGTTTCATTCCAGCAGAGCTCCAGCTGATGTAATTGGAACAACTGCCTTCTTTAACACTCCTGAAATAAACACCTCACGACATTTGGCCCTGCGCCTGGTGCGTGGTTCTTGGCCTAAAGTCCATGGTGTAGGGCCTGACACAGAAGCTCAAGGTGAAAGAAGACTGAGGTACATGGGGCATGAACAATGTGTTGGGTGGGGGGGGTCATTATAAGTGGGTGTGGCTCTATACCAACAATTAATGAAAATATCTCACTGAATGACTGACACCAAGAACTGGCCAATCAGCACTGTTGAGAGACACACAGAAAAGCAGGTGCATTTCTGCTCGCAGAAACACATAACCAGGCAGCAGCACAGGGATTAACAAAGGGATGCTAGCAAGCGGAAGCCTTGTCTGTTTCCTTAGAAAACACTGGAGTGCCGGTTGTAAAAAAATAAAATAAAACAAGCCACAAGCAGATCAAAGTCAGAGCAAAAAGTGGAATTGTCCTGAGGTTAGTGGCTCACCTCCTCTACGGTGCATGCACTAGCAGATGTCAGGTAGCAGGCCGAGCAAGAGGTTGTGCAATGCTTGTCTGTTTTGGTTCAGGGAGGCACAGATTCGATTTGAAAGCCCCAGGCAGTGGCTGAACATGCACGTCCGCTGCCGGTTTCTGGCGTGAAGGCGTCGGCGAGCAGGCCCGGGCCTTCTTCACCTGGTACGAGAGTGACGTGGACCACCCCCCCTCCCCATCCAGATCACAGCTGCTCGTCATCCCACTCTGACACCCGTGAACCGTGAACTGCACGACGGCAGACAGGCCGGAGGGGGGAGCTCATCTGTCAAGTCCGAAGGCTTGTTGACAATTAGCTCATTGTCCTTCTTTTACAATCCGCAGGCTTCATATTCCCGTTCCTTCAAATCAGGAGAGAGACGCATCGCTTAAGGACTATTTCAAAGGTGCTTTCCTCGTTACGATCCTTGTTAGGGCTTTTACAAGCGCCGTCGATTATGCGATACAGCGTCTGAAGCTTTTCTTTGGCAAGTGAAACGATTTCGGAACTTGTGAGCTCAGTGGTGGCAGTGTCGTACTGCCTGGGAGAACAGCACGTGCCTGGGACATGTGACAGGCCCTGTCGAACACAGAAGAGGGTGGGGTGGGGGTGTTACAAAAGATGGATTCACACTTCCCCAATATATTCATGGGACTCTGATGCCCGTGGCGCTCGAACGTCTTCAGGGACCGCCTCTACATGGCTTCCCGCTGTGGTCGCGCGTGCTGCCAGAAATAAAAACGCAAGCCTGATCATGTGTCTCGGCGAAAGGCGGCAGGAGGCCGGCGGCGGGGCACTGGGAGAGGACGATGGGATACTATGCTCTGCTCCACGTTGGCTACGTTGGTTGTGCTGAGTCTACAGTATTTACAGCGGGCTCCCAGTCAACAGCATCGTCTGCCCCACCTCTAGATCATCTTCAGGCCAGCTTTGACAATGTCACGGACATTGCAGTCTGTCCCAATTGCAGCAACAGTCCGCACTCTCCTCTTTTTCGTCTTGGAGGGCTTAGGGGTCAGTTCTTCGGTTTTACAAAGAAAAGGCTTCTTCTTCCTCCTATTTCATCCTTCCCTGTACCTCCTTAACAACGTCTCCTCACTGTCCACCCCCCATCCCCGACCCCCACAAAACTGCCCCCTCCCCAGCCAGCAGGGGTGAGGTTGTGTTGGGTTTCTGAATTCAGGAAAGCTGCTGGCTTGGCTTGGAGCTGCAGGCCTCTGCGTTCCCTTGAGTCTTACCAAGTCAGAGGAATCAGACAACCTGTTTGGAGTCTTCCACTTCCTTCTTCCTCGCTCTGAGATCCTCAGGGGTTGTACGTCCCAGTCGAGTGGCCTGTCTGTCTGTCCGTAGGAACTGTTCCCCCTCTCCTCGTGAAGCACAGGGATGCTGTAAAGTCAGTCTCCAGGGTTTGTAGGTGTCATCTGTCTTTCTGAAGCAGGAGCGGTGCAGAGAGTCGGGGTGCCATCCGGTGTCTCTGGGGCACAGAAGGTCTCCCCCTCCAGGAATCTCTTCTGTATATGAAAAGTTGGGGGCCTGTTTAATAATCCCTAGCCAGGGAGGTGTGAGGTGTGAGACAGGATAGGTGGAGCGTGCGTGCGAGTTTACAGTGGACAGTGGGTGAGTCTGTTCCGCACTAGTTTTTTTAGAACAAGTTCTAGATCACATTCTCGAAGAGCTGCATCGAATTCATGATGTTCTCATCCTGAAAGAGGGGAAGAGAGGTTGTAAATTAAATATATCAGGACATCAGCACACCACAAGATTGTTATTATTAAAAAAAATAGTCGTCGTCATCATAGATTCTATTTTGCAATATTTCAAGGTATTAAGTACACAGAAATTAAAAAATGCTATTTGTTAAAATCCTTCTCATTCCCCGGTGTTATACTGAGCGTGAGTGAGATGTATAATGTGTGCCGGAGAGAGTTACAGGTGCTGTGTGTCTTTAAGGGTCTACACGCTAGTGTGTGTCTGTGAGAGTGTTAGTGGATGATATTGTAAGAGTGTGCGTTATTGTGTCTGTGTGAAAATGCATTGGAGCGTCACAGTGAGTACACATTGCAGCATCAACTGCGTTTCACTCGTGTGTTGAAGTTTAAAGGTCTGTGTGAGTGCACAATCTAGTGTGTATTAGTATTCGTGAACCTGTGAGTGCATGTGGCTTCTGTTTCACTGGGCTACTACATCTTGTAGAAGTCTGTGTTAGTGAACCGGTGTGTGTGTTACTGCCCATTTAGGGCCAAATCCAGAGATAAAGTGCCCACAAGGGCAGTAACTCCTGACAAACAGACTGAAATGACATTTTTATAAACCAAATTGCATTGGCTTTTTAATCTGTGCCAAAATATTTATGTCTTAGTTCTGTTTTCGCCTCCGCAGAGTTTCATTTGAGTGGGCTTTTGAACGTTATATAAGGACGGAGTGAGTGGCAGTGGGGAATCCTCAGAATAAACCATAAAACACCAACCAGAGGGCACAAGCGGAAACTATGAGGAAGTGCATTCAAAACTAAGAACTGAGGTGGCACTTCATTACACAAAGGGTGGTGGGAGTGTTGGACAAGCTACACAGCTATGTTAGTAAAGCCAATACCCTGGTTTCTTTCATGAAACAACTGAAAGAGATTGTTAGATCAATGAACTACTAACGACCAAAGGGATACGTGGGCCGAATGGCCACTCCTTGCTTTTAACCTTTTTCATGTAATATTCTACAGGAATATAAACCTGTGTGTCTGGGTGCAACGTGCATCCATGCAGGCATCAGTACCTTTTGACAGGTCTCCATGAACTCATCAATGGTCACCACTCCATCTCTGTTTCTATCCATTTTCTGAAAGGAAGAAATATGACAACATTGCTACACAATATATTTGAGTGTGTGCTCATGTCTCTCAGTACTTTTTTGAAATAAAATAAAGGTTCATTATACTTGTGTGATTGTATGGTGAAAAGATTTCAGATGCAGTCTTTGGGACAGGAGAGTGAAAGATCAATAATTTAACAGCAGCAGAAATTACTGCTGCTACTACCACTAATACTGACACTACCTGCTGCTTCTGCTACTATTGCAACTACTGCATTTCCCCCTAATGTTACTACCACTCATACTAATAATACTGCCAACACTACTGCTTCTACTATTACTACTTTTGTCACAGCTAGTGTTGAAAATAACATTCACACTGCAATGCAGATGGAAGTAAGTAGACTTTACAAAATGACTGCCCACAACTGAGCAATCACCAGCCTCACCATCTTGAGCTAATGGTCAGCTGTGCTCTGTTCACCCCTCGGTTTTACTGACTAATGAAAAACAATGCCTGAGAGAGCAGACTGTGGCTCCGGGTTGCTCCATTTTAATTTTTCCACTCTGAACATCACATTTCCTCTACTAACGGTTAGAACTGAAATTGTGTTCTAGCTATGCCTTACGAAAGGAGAGGCACATTCACAAAATCGGAGGTAGGCGTGCGTGTTTGCTAGACCAGACCAGATTGCTTACTGTCTTAATGACCGAACAGCAATCTACCAATTGAGATCATCTGAAATAAACGTCTCCTGGATGTTTCCAAAACTTAATAACGCTCACAGAACTAATGTCCGAGTGGAGAGAACAGCGGGGCAAATGGCAGTCCTGATAGGAATCCATTGTTGTTAAAGTGGATGCTTTCTGCTGAAAATTACACCTGCTCCTTAGTGCTTTCTTAATGCAACACAGCTTCAAGCAAACATGTGCTTCACAAGTTGCTCTGAGTGTAGCTCCCTTCAATGTGGTGTTAATTATTGTGGAAAGGCACAGCAGAGGGCACTGTTTATCAGTGAGACGCCCTGGGGCCACAGTGGCCGGCCCTGGAAGATGCTGTCTGTTCCGGATGGGAAATGCGGGCAAGTGGTGGCGGTGCTGGGCGTGGCCCCGAGGGGCGCCGCCCCCTCCTCTGCCCCAGGTAGCGGGCAGAGGACATGGGGAATGGGGAATGCAGGGGGGATCCGCGAGGAAGGGAGCAGCACCCCTTCTTGGGCTTCAGTTCTTTATCCTGTCTGGACACAGGGCACAGCCTCCATGTGAAACATCAAGAGCGCTGAGGTTCCAGTCTTACAGCTGAGTCCCGGCGTCTCTTTGGTAACCTCACGCTAATGTATGTTTGTATTGCTCATTAAAGCATGGAACAGGCTGTAAAGCCTTCATGTTTTACCTTATTAACTTATTTCTTAATTAAAAATAAATGCTATAAATGAAGAGCACTGCTCCTACACTGGGAGTGCTAGTGCCCTCAATCTAACCCATCCATTGGTTGAGTCAGCAGTCACACCTCCACAAAAAGACAGCAAGCTACTTCCTGGGTGTTGAACAGTAATAGACTTAGTACCTGGAAGAACTTCTCCACGTGCTCAAAAGGAGCGTCATCTCGGACGCAGGGATAGGTGTATCGTCCCATCATGTCGTAGATGGATTTCATTATCGCCAGCATTTCCTGGAGTGACAACACAGGCTTAACACACATACTGTAGC